ATATATATATATATATATATATATATATATATATATATATATGCTCCAACTCTCCATAGTCTACCAGAGATTACCCCTGTTGTTACACTGCCCCAGTTTCTGCTTTTCAAAAGGATTCCTTTTCTTTAAAAATTGTACTGTACAAGCTCTTCTCTCCATGTCTCTAGAAATTGAATATATAGGCTAATAGATGTGGGTTCCTATCTTGTCTGTAGCCTGCATTTGCAAATAGGTGTAAAAACACTCTCAGGAAGCCTTCTTTGACTTGATGTCCTCCTTATGGCTTGCACTACATATTCTTCATCCCCAGCTAGTGTGGTCTCCCTGTGTGAAGACTACAACTCTCCGTATCTCCAAATATGCTGATGGGGATGAAGGAAGTTATAGTCCAACCCATATGGAAGGCAATAGACTAGTTGCCACCAGGGTATGGTTTCATTATAGTATTATGCAGTTCATAGCCTAACTATGATACATACATATCAGCTATCATACACAGCAGCTGCTGAGCTATGTTTTAAAATTGTTCACAACATCTTGTTGCAATGGGCTTCTTGCAGTGGTTTGGCCTTGTTGCTATTGAATTTCTACAAAGGCTGAACATCACTGAGTTTCAAGATAGTTGTCCGATAGCTGGAAATCTCTTTCAAGGGTTTGTAAGGAAAGATGAGTGTAGTACTCATCCTAGGAATTGATGTGGAGTAGCTTCTTCCCAAGAGCTTTTCCTCAGTTAAGTTCTACTTTGCAACTCTGCAAATAAAAGCAGTATGAGATAGTGGTTAAAGAGTTGAGTCAAGACTAGAGAGCTCCAGATTCAAATGAGCATAGAATACTTTCACAGCAAAATTTAGAATCAGAATGAATGATAGTGTTGTATGAGTATCCTTATTTATGAGACAGTGTGGTGTAATGGTTTGAGTGTAGGACTAGGATTCTGGAGATCAAGATTTGATTCCCCAAAACCCATTGAGTGAGTCACACTCTCCTATAAAACCCTGTGATGAGTTTGCCTTAAGGTTGCCACAAGTTGGAAATGACTCAAAGGCACACGACAACAGCAACAATATTGAGAAAGAGATTGTAAATGTTTAATGGACAGATCCTGGGTCTTCCTTACTCCATTGTTATGGTTCTAAAGTTATGGGAAGCACTTGCAAGGCTCCCTAAGAAAGGAAGAAAAAACCCTCCATTTCATAGTAATGAATAGATGTGGGCGTGATATTTGATTTGATTTTAATTTTAATTATGAAGTTTACCTTCTTTATACATAATGCAACCACTTCTTTGTAATTTGCTTCCTGAGATCAGAATAAATGACTTCAAACAAGGAACTAAAGTGCATGATTAATTGCATTATGATGTTCGAATCAGATTCAGTTGGGATGAGAGGAGGAAAGGGAAGGGAGAAAGGATAGCCAAAAATAAAATTTCATTATGAGATGGAATCTAGATTAGTATGTAAGTTACCAGACAATAATATGAGTGGATATTTTGAATACCAGGTCTCTTGCATGTCTCGTATCTTTGCCTGTGTCAGTGGTGCCTTACAGATGAAATGGGTAGGTGTCTCCTCCTAAAGTGGTTAAAAAAGATCCTCCCCATTCAATGAAAACTACTGCCTCAGATGTCAGTGGTTCAGTGAATCTATTCCATAGTTGATTCATGCAATACACTAAAGCATTCTTATTCCATTTCAACAGCCATGATCCTGTCCTATAGAATTCTGGAGTTTGTAGTTTTCTGAGGCACTGGAGCTCTTCGTCTCCAAATGATAAATATCCCTATCTAAAATGCAAATCCCATAATTCCATAGGAAGGAACCATGACAGTTAAAGTGAAATAATAGCACTATAATTCTGTAGTGTTATTGGGCCTGCAGACTTTGATAGAGCCATTGAGGATGCTCAACCATATCTCACAAATAGATGCAGCACCTGAGTTGCTCTTTCAAGTTTAGACCAAAATCCAAAGTGAATCGGACACCAACATCCATCATCTCCACTTGGTCCATGAACCCTATTGACATTAAAACTGCCTGCCTTATGTTATATAGAACATGGCGGCATCCTGTTCAATAATAATGAGATCATAAGATGGACTTTTAAGGCCTGAGAAGAAGCAAGGGGACCACTCGGTTAAGAGGTAGGAACTTCTGTTCCTTGTGTCATGTCCTCCCTAGAAACCTCCTTGGATGAGAGAGAAGAGCTAAGATAGCAAACTTCAGTGGGGACTGGAAGAGACTGGAAATATTAGAATTGAAACCTGGGTCATCTCACATTGCTCCTGAAGACAAGACCCAGGTGATATTATTATGAACACCATAGACACTAGCTTCAGACAAACAGCAAAACCCTTGGCTGATCTTAAAAAGGAACATAGTAGTAATTCAGTTGTGTTGATTTACAGTTAGCTATAAATTAGTATGACCAAAGCCATTCTTTTTGTTCAAACTATCATTCCAAAATTATGAAGTCTAATGTTCCTTTGTCAGGATCATGGTCCAGATATGATCTTGCCATGCTTAACTGATGTGACTGAACATATGTGTGGTGATGTGGGATGATGGGGTATCCTGTCCTATTAGTGATACTGGGAAAAGAAAAGATTTTGTATCATTCTCAACCTGTCATAATGACCAGATGTCTGAGGAGGATGTATGAACTGCAAATTGTCAAAGTGACCCTTGTGGTGCAATTATGTACTGTGATTGACTCTGAATAAAGCTTTTTCTGAATCTGCTGAAGGCTTGTGTTCTTGGAGTGGAGGTAGCCTGTACATTACATCCCTACTCTACCATGGGAATGAAAAGGATATTCATAAATATTCAAATCTGGTGTGTGTGTGTGTGTTTGTGTGTGATTTCCTGAATGTCAGGAAATCCTGGCAAAGAGAATCCTAGACAGACGAGTATATTTGTAGTATGGGATTGTTCTATTTTTTAATGTTGTTTTCACTAGTATAGTCAATAATATTTTATGTACAGACATTGCACTCACCTGAGCACTTGCCATCCTTAAATAAGACACCTAACTTTCTTTTTACTCACCGCCTCTTTGTTCTGCACTAAAACTTCTCTTTGGCAGCTGCTAAGCCACTGGGAACACAGCCATAATATTAAATAGCCATGGAAGGAGAAGAAGGACATCAAGGTTGATATCATACTGCAGAAATAAAACAGTTTGACACCACTTGAACTGTCATGACTCAATGCCTTCCCTGTGTGAACCTCTGGTGCCCCACCAAACTACAATTCTCAAAATTCCATAACATTGAGCCATAAAAGTTAAAGTGTTGTCAAACTGCTTTATTTCTGCAGTGTGGCAGCAGCCTATATAGTGGGCACTGTCTCCTCTCCACATTGCAGTATGCCAGAGAGGGAGAAACTAAAGCAAAGAGGGAAACAGTTCCTCTCTCCATCTTTATCACCTTCCATCCACCTCCATGGCCATTTAAGCACTTTAGCAGCTGTTGAGGACCTTGGCAGTGGCAAGATGGACACAGATGGGGGGTTGTGGGCATGAAGCATTACTTTCCATGCACCCAAGGAAGATTCTTGGCCCATAATATGGTTCCTATGGATCACCCTGTAAAAAATGCAGGAAGGGAAGTATGGGGACCGATTACAAATTCCACCCTTCTGTCTCCAGGAGCCATCTTAGAAATGTTTCCCCAGCATCCAGATGTTTAGCTGGCATGGGAAAGGGTTTGCCAGTCCCACATCTGTTGTTCTCTGCTTGTAGAGTTTCTTCATCTCCTTACTAGGACTCTTCCTGAGATAATACACATAAGGAGCTATTTTCCTGCATTGCCCAAGCATGTGGTTGGCAGGAAATTATTTCTGCAGTGGAAATCAGTAGTTAAAAGCCCTTGTGCCTTTCCCCATCATTTATCAGGTGGGGAATGGAGTCATGTAAACCTCTTTAAAGGCTTTCCAATCAAGGTTCTTTGCTTTTCGTCTTTGTCATCGCTGATCAGGTCTTGCATCCTGGGGGAAAAAAATGAATGTCTTGAACACTCATTTCCTCTGCTTACTTAAAATTAAACATCAACTTCTGTTGTCACAATAATATGCCTCAATGACTCATACTGCAATTGGGAGTCTACGCCCCTGTTGCTTACATTGTAATTCTTTTTTTTTTTACCCTTCGCCGAAATCACTTGTCCCACTAACACAACCTCTGAACAATTAGTTCTTTATTTAAAGTGCTTGGTTATGCTTTGTTCCTTTTGTATTTTATAATTTTATTGGGCAGCATTCAAAAGGGCCCTTTTGTAACTTAGAAGAACAATTTGGGAGGAGAAGGGACAAATCAAAGTTCTAACACTATATATTTATGCATACATGTGCATATCACACACTGAATTTCCATGAACAGAAGATGTTGTTTGGTTCGACCATGTGACTGTCTAAATTTGAGTTGGTTACATCAGATTTTTTTTCTTTCCATAAAATATGAGGCTGCCATTGGAATTGTTTAAAACTGGTTGGGCGGTTCTTCACAAAAAACAGGCGAGGCAGGGTGTACCACCTCAGATTGCAGATCAGATATTGCATAATATCAGTATTTCCATAAAGACAAGAATATCAAAGAATAAGTTATTCTAGAGCTGCTGCCACATTCCATA